CCATTTTGTTCTTCGTCTAACTCTTGCTCTACGCCCCTCTCCTCTTTGCATTGTATGGTATAGCGTCAGAAGGCATTCTCTCCAACTGGGCAAACCATTTGATTTGCTGTCTTTAAATGTAATTTAGAATTGGTTCTGTGCCGACTTGATCTGGTATAAACTCATTCCTGATTTTATCTCTTCTGCTCAGTCCTACTGTCTTTCTCAGACACCTCATTTCCATGGTTACTAATTTTCTTTTATGTTTTGTTGTGAGTGACCATGTCTGGCTCTGGTAGCATAGGATGGGAATGAATATGCTTTGTATGAGATGTTTCTTTGTGCTGACTGGGATTGCCTTTTTGCTGTAAGAAGGTGGCTAGCTGTCCCAATACTTGGCCAGCTTGGATGCCAATTTCTTCTTCCAATGTACCATCTTCAGTGAATGTTGTTCAAAGATATTTAAACTCAGATGCTTGTTTAATATACGTTCTCCCTGTGTGGGTTCCGGGGCCCTATTATAGGGAAAACAAGAATAGACCCACTGCCTACCCAAAAGCACGTCGTAAAAGTCGACTAATTGGGAGCTTCCTCCGAAGTCGGAGTGCATCTGCCTGAGAGGCAAGGAACCAACAGTCTGCACACATATGCGTCAGATATGTAAAACGGATGCACACGCAGGACCAGGACTGCAGTCCAGAAGTGGATGAACAACCAGAGCTTTCCACCAGAGTTTACAGCTGGTGAACGCAATGCAGAAGAAGATATACGTATAATCTAATGCTATGTTTTAATCCTGCTTCTTTCTTCTTATTGACATTACTTCTGTCTTTTCGATGTTGTTCTTATATCATTTAATTTACATTCTTCGTGTGATGTTTAGGGTTTTTAGGCCCCTTAAAATTATTATTGGTTGGGGGGGGGGGGCAAGAGGACTAATCCTCTGAGGTTCCGGTGTCTATGGCCTCAAGGACCAAACATATGATCCCCATCTGGACAGGTAAGCCTGCCAGTCATTGCCCCATCACGGCTGCCGGTACTAATGATGTTCTAAGCTAGTTTTGCTGACCTGATTTTCTTACAGCAATATGCCAAACGACTCAAAACAAAGCCAGAAGTAAATGCAGATTTTGAGCTAGTCAGTCAGCCCGAGGATTCATCGCCTTGTTCTTGTCCTGCCAGTAATCCACAGGTAAAATGCCCTCTTCTTCTTAGCCTACACAGGTGGAAAGTTCTGGTGATTTGTTCACTTCTGGGCTTTGGTCTTAGCCCACACGAGAAGGAGGTTTGCGAAAGTGTTTAACATTTTCCTGATTCTTGAGTTCCAGGGTTCGATTCCTGCAGTGGACGTTTTTTTTTTAAAGGTTCTATATTAATATATTACAATCTAACATTACAGGGGGTGGTAGATAGGCTGCATGCAGTCGTGGGACCTAGGCTGCACTCTCTCGTGGAACGTAAGTGGGTTGGGGTAAGGGCAAGTTCTAGATGTTTTGAGGGCGTTAAAAGCATCAGAAAGCTGGGAAATCTAGTCTTACCATACAGCCATATGTTAAAACTGGGTGTATGTAGCAAGCAATAATTCTTTTTCTAACTCTCAGTGACAAGGATATATTGCACAAAATGTTTTTCATTTTATAAAATGCAGTTTTTGCCTGTCCTATTCTGTTTCTTATCTCAGTTATGCATCTTCCATCTGAAGTTATCCATGTGCCCAAATACTTAAATTTATGTACTTGTCCTAAAATAACACCATCGACTTTTATTACACGCTTGGGAATAATTTGTTTATTTGATACCACCATTACTTTTGTCTTCCCATTATTCAAACTGAGGCAAATTCTTTCACTTTTTAACACCTCAATGTCTATCATTTCCTGTAGTTCATCTGGGGGTAGGATATTAATAAAGAACAAACAAACAAAATGTGTTTTTCGCACAGAATAACGTGATCGCACTTATTCACCACGTTAACAGTCTGGTTTTTTTTTTTTTTTTTTTTTGTTCTTTGCCTATGTATTGCTTGGGCTTTTGTTCAACTTAGCTGGGGTTTTCACAAAAATCTAAATGACAGCCGTGGACTTCACCTGATGCCGATTTTAGACCGAGCTGTCATGGAAGCCAAGGTAATTTCTAAAAATAATCGGCCTCAATGCGAATTTGAACCCAAGACCTTTGGTTCGAGGGCAAGCATTTAGCTACTATGTTACGTCATCATCATAAACATTCTTGTTAGGCTATCTGGTTAATTTGATAATACATAGAAGATTAATTTAAACCTCTCTTGGACATCCGCCCTATGTCTATTTATTCAGAACATTAAGAGGTTGTGGCAGCTTGGCAGGCTTACCACATCCTCCCCTAAGTAAAACTCCTTCATACAACAAAATGCTAATCATCTCCTTGCGAGATGCAATTTTTGCGCTATCCTCCGAATATCGGTCCTAAATTATCTAGGCGGAAAATATACCCTATCAGGGCCTCAGTCACGTGTCAATTGCGCACTTCCGGGGATCATAAAGCCACCGTCTAATTGCTAACTTTCGGGGACTATACCGCCACCGTTGAGAGTATCCCGCACACCACTCACGCGGCGTGGATTTGGGCTAAACTAGATGGCTAGGACTCACGATCAAATAAAATGAAGGAAGCTGCAGGAGATGCGGTAGCTGCTGCTCGCGAGTCCCAGCATCTAGTTTAGCCCCAATCCACTCGAATACTCTCGGCGGTGGCGAAGTCGCCGGAAGTGCGCAAGGTTGTGGTAAGCCTAGCCCATGGCCTAGCCAGCTGCCACATCTCTTAAAAGAAAAGAAAAAAAAATGTAAGACGACGGAAGTGTGCAATTTACACGTGACTGAGGCCCTGTTAGTGTATATTTTCCACCTGGATAATCGAGGACCGTTATTAAGAGAATATCCAATTTTTTTTTTTTTTTTTAAGACCCACCCTGGCTCTTGCCAGGGGCCGCAATATAGCCCGACCATTAATATGGTCTAATTGCTGAACATGGTTTCTGGGACCTCTTCACGGGTGATCCTCATCCATATGGTGGCACTTTGTGTCATAGGGTGTTTATCGCTTGTGTGATGTCCTAGTGGGGTAAAATCTATTACTACAACAACAAATTGACCTGCCATCACCATCGATTAATTTGATCAAATATTTTTGTTTCTGGTTCAAACGATGGTGAAATGCTTCTACAATATTCATGAAAATTCAAGGCTGCCTCCTACTTTGGTTCGTATTTGAATAAATCCTTACCTATTTTTAAAATGCATGTCGTGTGAGGGTGGTCGCCAAGTTTGTCACAAACTTCATTTTTCTTTTTCCACGTGTAATGAAATTCATTTACGGTGCGGAACTTTCGCTATATATTTATTTTATCTCATATTCTCAATGTTGTGTATCTGGTATTGGATTTCATTGTACATGCCACAATGTAATTTACCTTAGCAGCGGCAAAAGGTGTGGTATGAAATGTGTCAGTGAAACGACTTGCTGAAAGGTTTAGAAAATGTCTTTATGAGGATCAGAACAGTTCCGATGCTTTTCAGTTCTCGGGGTTACCAAGGTGTCTTTGGCATAAAGATTACAGCCATCAAATCTAACCACTCCGATAATAGTCCGTGTCTATCTAATGGGGTCCAACTCACCTAAGGGACAACATCCAACACAGTTTTATCTAATATTTTCGAGATATGGCCCTTGCCTTCAGCATGTGTATTTTTTCTGGCTAGCATTCTTTCCTGTATTCAAACGTGCCTCAGAGCTTGAACTGACCAGACATGTGAATTTTATTAGAGAGACCACGGTTAAGTGATTTGATGTATTTTTGTTTGTCTTTTTATTTTATTTATTTTTTCTCCACTCCTTGAATGTCTCGCGGCGTCAGGACAGCACGAAATCTCTGGAACGTGCCCTTTTGTGCATTTCGTATAAAGTACTTTTCAGTGCCTCTTATATTTCTGCAGTCAATCTTCTTGTCAGTCGTGGTGGACTTCTGGGTCAGTATAACATTGCCCTTTGTGGTGCCCTGTCGGATGCCAATCTTGTTCCAAATCCAAACCATTTGATTTGTTGTCTACCATTAAAGTTCCTTATTGGATCTGTGCCGACTCTTGCCCTGATATCATAGTTCTAACGTAAATGTTTCTCGTTACATCTAGCATGGTAAGAAATTTTTTTTATTTCTGTCATGACTATGACTATTTTTCCTCCTGTCTTCTGAAGACTGTGTCAATGTTTGACACTGATAGCATAGCATTGGTAAGAATATTCTGTTGAACAGTGTCTATTGAAGGCTGTGTTGATGAAGGCTTTCAGGCCACAACGTTCACTTGTCGTTTGTGATTGTGATAATGTGAAATTGACTTGTTCTACTTTCCATTTGGCTTGATATCTTTTCATGGTACAGGTAAAGAAGTTTTTCTTGAATCTACATGAGTTTCAGAAATAACACTACTGGACACGGCGGTGTTAAAATACTTGGAAATAATGTGTTGTACAACAAATGGATTTTAAAAAAGGTAGTTAATAATATGTGGGCAGTAATGTAGATAAAGATGGGGGAACTGATACAGATATTAAAATAAGAATACAAAAGGCAAGAGGAGCTTTCATGGCACTATGGAATTTGTGGAAGTCAAAAGAAATTAAAAGAAATACTATACTTAAAACTATTAATTCTAATGTCAGATCAGCATTTTTGTATGGAGCGGAAAACACGGAGAACAACAAAGGCAATTACTAATAAACTACAGACATTCATTAACTGGTGCCTGTACAAAATAGAGGAAATTAAATGGTATGATGGAATCACTAATGTAGAGTTTTAGAGAACAGAGCAAGCTCCAGTGGACCAAGGGGTGAAGAAAAGAGGCTGGCGTTGAATAGGACAGTCATGGAGAAAACCGGAGAACAATATAACTAGAATATCTCTGCACTGGAACCCACAGGGGTATATTAAAGAAGAAAGGGGGGAAAACACACACACAAAACACGGAGATGGGAGCTGGATAATGAAGTTAGAAAGATGGGGAGGACGTGCGGAGAGCTGCATGCGATAGCAAAAGATAGAACAACCTGGCGTGAGTTGGTTGAGGGCCTTTGGAGTGCTACCTTTAAGTCAGACAACCCGCGTTACTTAAAGAGTTACATTTCAGATGGCGTTCTTACAGGGCAACACTGCTATATCCCTTTCAACCTCCGAGAAGGTTTTATTTGTTTAGCCGTGATGACTTTAACTATGAGTCTGCAGGACAGGTACAGAAATGTAAGTATCTAGGTACCTGGAAAACCTCCGACAAAAATGCATCACAGAGATAAACAGCAGATTAAGGCTGACCAAAACTGCATTTCATAAAAATAAGAACGTATTATGCCATAAATCCATGTCACCTAAAGTTAAAAGAATAATTCTTTTATGCTATACAGAGTTAGTTTAACATATGTCTGTGACTCATGGACAGTAAATAAAAAAGCTGAACAATTTTTAGGAATGATTTCTTGAGGCCTCAAAGATTTGGTTTTACATAAGAATCCTTACAATTCCTTGGACAACGAAAAGAAGCAACCCGTATATTCTGAAAGAGGTGAGAGCTCGAAGAAAACCTATCACAAACACTAGAAATAGAGACAGTCACCATGGGGAGGTGCATGTTATAAACCTGCTTATTTTCTTTAACAGAGAACACATGGTGGAGAGTTGTGACTCATTACTACTGACCAACCATTGTCTGCTACACCCTCAGGAAACAGCCTTGGTTCGACATGCGAGGTTAAATCTGTGACATCCGAGGTGGATGACTTTCAACAGTAACAAGGAAGCTATGCAATAGCAACTTTTGTGCAATTTTTTAACAAGAAGCCAAAACTATAGTTTGAATGGTACTTTTCCCTGTGTGGGCTCTGAGGCCCAATTATGGAGAAAACAAGAATAGGCCCACTGCCTCCTCAACAAACATGTCGTAAGAGCCGATTAATTGGAAGCTTCCTTTAAATTTGGAGTGCATCTGCTCAAGGGGCAAGGAACTAACAATCTGCATACACTCGGGTTCTGGAGCACGACCTAAAATCCGTAGGGCGAAGAACAACCAGAACTTTCCGACAGAATCACAGCCGGTAAACATGAAGAAGATGAAAAAGGAAAGGTATTTTAAAGCATTGGATGGCACCTCTCCGTCTTTCCAAATGATGGTATTACACGGTCCTTCAGATAGTATTTTTCCACAACTTAGAAAGGAAACATAACTTCCATTGCAATGTGAAAGATTTGTGTCCTTCTTGTTTGCATTTCAGTTTCTGTCAAAATTTGTTCCTGTCTATCGACTCTGCACTGTATCTACCCTTTTCATTTCTAAACACACTTCCAGTAAATACTACCAGGTTGCTTAAACCACGGCCATCTTTAGCTATAAATCTAGAGTTGGTGGTGCTTAAACATGCATGTATGTGTGGGCAGCGGCGTCCGTGGCTTTGCGAATCCGAGTCGGCAATTCCAACGTACCGCGATTGAAGCACACTGCTGGCTGCGTAAATGTGTATCATGGTATAGGGCGTCGCAGGTCGACCCAGCCTAAAACAGCCTGGGGAAGTAAAGTCGGCCAGCGTAATGCTGACCACATTACCCACCTAGTGTCTATGGTCTGTAATATGTGCGATCTTTCCGTATACCCAATACGCCTAAAAGGCGTGAAAGGGGATCTTTACTTTTACCATGTGTGGGCATAAAGGAGTTTGAGTGAATGAGTGAGTGTATTTATGCATGTGCGTATTATGCATGTGTTTATGAATGTATTTATATATGTGTATGCATGCATATTTGAATGTACGTATTTGTCATCCATGCGTTTGTATTTTTTTCCTAATATTCATATTACGTATAATGCTGCATGAACATAACATGTGTTACCTATCAAATATAATTTCTCTGTGAAAGATGAATGCTTGAAAGAGCTGAATGTACACAGCCGGCTCAGTTTGTAATGTTTTAAAATAAAGTTTGTTCATTCGTTTGGCATAAAACAATCTATTCTGCAGTCCGTATGTTTTTTACAATTATCAACTGATTATTCTGCCATTCATACTCTATATCCATATCCCTGATAAGGGCTGGGATTTTTTTCACGTGGATTTGGGACTTCTAGTAATTCCCCCTGGTCTCTGGGTAGTGAGACCGAACACTCGTGTCCCTTGGCAGTTGGAAATTAAAAAAAAAAGTAGCCGAACGGCGCTGTCCGGGCAAAATTTGGAGTTTAAAATCTAATCAAAGTATTTAAGGGTCCTCGCCGGTGCTACAGATAACGGCTATCCTCCGACTAACGGTCGGCAAAGATGGCGACCGCAAAATATCTAGTCACGTGTCTATTGCGCACTTGCGGTCACCAGCACATCGCGGCAAAACTAGGATTAGTGTCTGTTTCGAGAAACGGAACAAACCGCCGAGTTAAACTCGCCGCCGAGTCTCCCCCGTACCGCGCGGATGGGGCTAAACTAGATGGCTGGGACCCACGAGCAGCAGCTTCCGCATCTCCTGCAGCTTTGCTCGTGAGTCCTAGCCATCTAGTTTAGCCCCAATCCACGTCGCGTGAGCGGCGTATGGGCTACTCTCGGCGGTGGCAGTAGTCGCCGGAAAACCGCAAATTAAGTCGCTGGAAGTTCGAAATTGACACGTGTTTTTGGTCGACATCTTTTGTGCCCATTATTCGGAGGATAGCCGGTCTGTGGATGCTACTAAAAAGAAAGTGTTTAGTAATACCAATGCGGTACGAGCCGCGCCTTGTTCCGATCGTACTTAACCGAGTTTCAATGGCGCAACAACCACAAACAGCAGATTTTCGAGCACTAATTAGAACGTCTGTGCCATAATTTTCAGATATAAAGACATACAATTATCGGTAAGTAGTCGATTTGATATAACATTTTTGTCGCTCCTTTTTAGTTTTCGTTCTTTATTATTTTCCACTTCAATTTTTGACTGTCTACAACACATGACTGTGGCTCGACTGGATATTTTGCGGCCGCCATCTTTGCCGACCGTTAGTCGGAGGATGGTCCAGTGGACTCCAGAATCCACATGGGGAATAATATTGATTGAGAGGCCTACAGAGAAGCTAGACTTAAAATAAATAAAATGGTATTATTCAAAATAGGTTTTGATGACGAAACAACATCATGGCACAAGAGTAGTAACCCATAAGTGCTCCATTCTACTTCTGATCGTGAAAGGTGATCTTTACTTTTTTTTTAAAAACCAGAATGTTGCAAACCAACCCCAGCATTTGTTGTCTGTTTGTTGTTTTACTAGGAAAGTTTACACATGCCCCTGCTTTCTCCAGTTCTTCTGCCATAAACTTTGGCAGAAAGGTCGAGCTGTTTGTCCACTTCTGGACTTCGATCCACTTGTTCCACATCATGCAGTCAAAATCAGTACTAATATAGGCATTAACATCATGGCATACGGGTGTAACCCATAAGTGCTCTCTTCTACTTCTAACTCAAGCCTGAGTATGAAGAATCTCAGCGCAGTGCACAAACTGCGTTGCATCTGCGAGGATTATGAAGTGCTTTGGGTAGATTCTAAGTCAAAATTTTGCCCGGGCAGCGCCGTTAGGCTACTCTTTTTCGATTTCAAACTGCCAAGTATTTTTACGCACGCAACAATACATATGGGCATCCGATATTACTACCCAGAGACCATGGGAAATTACTAGAAAGTCCACGCAGCCCCTCTTAACGACTTATATATAGGCATAGTGGCAACTGCACAAAGTCTTAATGTGAAAAAAACACCTGAAATCTTAGCACGGAGTTAATACAATAGTAAAATCTGCCATTTACTGACCTGGTGAAATTGATTTGAATCTAGAGATTAATTCACTTAACTGTGACTGAAAAAGTTAACAAAGATTGGCAGACAAAAAACATGCCGGAACAATCATACCTTTCTGCATCCTTTATGAACAAAAACCACAAGACCGAGAGCATCCTTTAGTAAAACTACCATCTTTTGGAAACAGATAATGATGACAGGACTAAATGAGATATCTGGAAAACTGTCCTTGCTGTTGAACAGCATATGGGAACAGGAGACCTACAGAGGACAAGAGAAGGGGAAAATCAAGGGATGTAAAATGACGGGTGAGACCATGGGCAGCAACAGAGACCATATGTCAATGCTTTGAGAAATGAAGAGGCTACAGATGGATAGAAATCAGATATCAATTTTTAAAACCTTGAGAACACAAAAGTATTACCAATCAGCCAGGGAAAAAAAGAAACAAACATGTATTTGTACAATCTTCACACTGTATTCACTTTTACAAAAAGGATATCAACAGTAGTGAACTAAACTTAAGAGAGCATAACATAAAACTATTCACATTTCAGAGCTAAACACACTAATTTAAAATCACAAAAAAAAAAAAAAAAATCAGTAGTTTGAAAGAAATGAAGAGCCCACACACAGACTATGTTAGCACAGCAAGTGAAATGTCACACAAAACACATACAATTATTGTAATAGGACCTTTCTTTTCCTTGATTGACATCAGCGAAATGTTGAGGGTAGATAGGATATTTCGTGTGCTCTTTCAATTACACTTTGAAAGTTGGTTTCTCTTTTTCAAAATTGTTCTTGATGTTGCAGCCTCATCTTTTGAGTTGACATTCTCCTGCCTGACTTAGACTAGAACGAGCCCTCTCTTATACTGTTTCACCTTCCCTTGCTTCTACTGTCAATAATGCTATAAAGTTACTATCACTGCTGGCCAAGGAAGTGACTGTGATTACTCTTCCTTTTCAACGCTGGCACAAGGCAATTATGAATGTAGTTTGTTAGTAATTGCTTTAGTTTTTCTACGCCTGAATTACTGTAAATGCACTTTGTAATTCCTTGTTCAATCCCAGCTGCTGGCAATTTGGCAGCAGACCACCTTGCATCAGTTTCAACAGTGGCATCATGTGCCAACCGTTCAGATAGCAATGGTAAAATAATGAATTTAAAATTGTCTAGTCAAATCACAAATAGCTAAAAAAAATTGCTGGGGTTGGTTCTGCAACGTCCTGTAAAGGACATACAGCTAATGTTGAGTTATTTTCCCCATTTCTGCAGTACTGATTTCAAGTTATAGAGGTAAATTAAAACTCATATATTTTTTCAAACTTTAACTCCTTCATGTAATATTTGTATCTGTTCCATCTTTATTCTGCTGCCCAACGAGGTGTATACGTTCACTTTTGAAGTGAGGTTTCAACAAGGAAAATCAGGTCATTCTATGCGTGATAATATTTTGTTTTTAACCCTAACCCGTACATGAATGTGTAGAAATGATTTTGTGAGCTCTCATCATGTGTGAGAAGACATAATAGCCAAAAGAAATATACAGAACAGTTTTCAATACGTTGAAGCAGCACTTGGCCTGAAAAGAGCTACCTTTGACTGGACTCAACACAACGAAGCCCTAAAGGTTAATAAATATAGAGATTATAATTTTAACCCATATGTAATACGACCATGAATTTAAAATTATGGATTAATTCCTCTCTTTTCATCCGAATAAACACATTATGTTATCTGTTAAGGACTTTTTATTTTAAAATATGAGTATGCAGCCTTATTGAAAGTTACAAAACTCTTGATATTGTTCATCTGTCCCACTGAGGTGTTTGCTACAAAATCTTGAGCAAGTCACGAAAATAAGAAACGAAAGATTACCACCATTTGTTATATTATTTTTTTGGCTCTCCATAGACAGTGGAGTTACAGATAGAAAAATATCATTGAAAAAAAAAAACATTAAAGAAAACAAGTTAGTAATTCACATTAAATAAACAATGAATATCAAAGAGCTCATTTTTGTTTCCAACAACGGTTATTTTATTTATCATCAAATTAAGCAGCGATTTCAAGTCACATGTCAGTTACATATGCCTTATCGGTGTTGCCAGACAAAAAAGTACAAACAACCTCCGTAACCGACTCTAGCAATATACAATAGTTTAAAAAACAAAATATCTAAGAATCAATTTTGTTATCTTACATTAACAATATTGCTGACTAAATTCACTTGGCTACAATGGTGTTACACACTGAAAAGTGACGAAAAGAAAACAACAAGAGCACTGGATTCTTAGAACAGTTCTTTGAATGTAATGTCAAGCCTGTCATTTCTATCAGTCTACAGGTCAGTCTACTATCTGTACAGATTTTTAACGCTCACACTTTTCCCCGGTTCTAGATTGTTACAGTACATACAGCTCAGCCCCTCCCTATCACTTGTCACTGGGTGGCTTGAAAGCTAATTTGCGGGACTTCAGAGTGGTCCACTTGTGACGCTTCATGTAGTAAGCCACGCCCAAGAACAAGCTAAGGATAATCAGGGTCTGGAAAACATACAGATAAAAATTATAACATGTTCAGGAATTGGCATGGTTTTGTACTAAAAAAAAACTCATAAGTTTACTGGTTAACTCCATTTGTGTTACTCTTTTCTAAATTATTTCTATTCCAGACTAATGTGTTAACCCTGTTGCTCCAATAAACTACAAAACTTACACTTCCTGTTGCGTCCAATTCCCTGTAAATGACTTAGTTATTGGAAGGTCATGGGTTTACTCCCTGGTGGAGCCAGACTTTTAAAAAATGGCCTTGAGTGGGTACCGGGAAGTAGAGGTGGCCGGCCTGATGCTGACCACATCACATATCTTGTGTCAATTGGTCTATAAAAATATAGGTCTAGCCCTATATGCCTAAAGGCGTGGAAAAGGGAACTAATATGGGTCTGTGTAAACAAATGGTTTTTAAGAAAAACTGAAATTAGGACATCACATTTTTCCACTACCACTAGTGTTACCTGGCGACCAGGTTAGCAGTCAAGCATGAGTCACAGCACAAATATTGGTACCTGTCATATAGAGGTAAGCCAGGTAATTCTCTGCCATATTCATTTTAAAGATAACCTCTTATGCTTATTCTGTATGGAAATTAATGTTTTAGTCTACAAATTGAATTGTTTTTGTGTGTGTGTCCATGTGTAAACAGGTGTTCTTTTTAAAAGGATTAAGGATTTCCCCAGAAATTCCAGAACGATGTGTCAATGACACTGTTAGTTATTTTAGGTTAAGACAGCAGCAGGCAAATTTTTGTTGTTGTTGACCACAGACCAAATTTAAAATTATCAACCTGGCAATTACCAATCGCCGGTCACATAGAAAAATCTATTATAAACACAATACTCGATTTTCTTGTAAAATAATACTTTTGTGGGACCATCTAAGATTAAAATCCCCTCTCTACACATCTGGCCAGATACACTGAAACCCTTCTCTATATTTGTGTCTGTTCAAACAAACAAACAGTAGTCGTCATTTTATATTTCATAATCAAATCCGCAGATAGACACTGTTTCAAGACATCTACATTTTATGATAACACAGGATGATAACAGAGTTAAAATATAAACTTTTAGTTCAGTTATAGACTAAAGTTACAAGTAAATCTCTCCAAAAGTCCACTTGTAGCCCAAGATTACAATAAATAGTAACAGATTATCTTCACTGCACACTGGACAAGGCCATAAGTGCTTGAATTCCTGTTCAGCATGTCCCCGAGCGTGTGGCAACTGATAATACCAGCTCTGTGTTGGTTTACTATTCTTCTTTGGTTACCTGTATAGTGTTCATGTTTGGCGACACCTCTTTTGACCTGAAGGTCTTGTAGTTTTTTTTTGTTAGTGTTTCCGACTCACTATCGTCTCCTGAATCATCTTCTCGTCCTGCCTCCTTGAGCACTGAGAAAGTCGGCCTGGTCCATTGCCTACCAGCAAGCCAATCCGCTCATTCATTCCCTCTTACCCCAGAGTGTCCTGGCACAAAAATGAAAGTGATTCCTATAAGACAAGATTTCCTCAGTGACTCCAACCAGCGACCCAAGATCACAATATATCGTAGAAGTAAATATCACCATAGATCCAGTTACAAAGCATGTTCACATAATATTATGTAAGTAAATCTCACCCTAAGTCCTATCAGTTTCCTCGAATCGTGTTCAGGCTCAGCTGCCCAGGCTAAGAAGGTGGACACATCTTTGGCCAACTGACTCTGTGTTGCTGGGGTTCCTGACATTGGCAGGGGAATGAAGGAGAGACACAAAAGAATTAGCCTGTTGCTACACTAATACAAAATACACCGGATATGTGTGGATTAAAATTAATTTTAAATAAATAAAGCAGATCATTGTGATAAAAATATTGGAAGAAGCTACTAACTATATTTAAAGTGGCACATGTCATAGCAACATGAAATGATACACCATTCGACAACATGTAGATTTGTTTTAAATGTTACGAGAAACAGACCAACCACTCAAATAACACAAAAATACATGAATTGTAGTAGTGATTAAAATTCTTAAACGGTCCAAATATTCTTTAGACTTCTTATATCTGTTTCAAGGGGCAAACAAGATAAGTGTGTGAACAGCAAAAATATTTGCAACTGAATGTCCACTTTTTCTTTATCAAGTGAATACCTGACTGAAATAACTTTAGTCCGTCTGTAGTTACACCGTCATTTTTTCACAGGAACCTGTGCACCACATATTGCATAAATCTGTTAAAATGCAAGGCTCTGTATAACATTTAAAGGGCATTTCACCAGAATTTCTGTACTATTCTTGTGTCATTTCAAACCAAATTGACTAACATTAAATAGCTCAATTAGGTGAGGAAATAAATGCCTAGACAACTGCTGGTATCAACAGTTATAAAATGATATAATGGGCAAATAGTAAGGAGATGCAAACACAGAATCACCAAAAAGGCACCAAGATATGAAATAAATAGACTGAGGAAACTAGAGAAATCCTAAGAGAAAATTGATGAGACAGGCCGAAAGCACTAGACTGGATTTCATCCATGAAACTGAAAAGATTACACAGGATGGAATGGAGGAATAGATTGTAAGCCCTATGTGACACATCAATGATGATTTCTGATCATGCCACCGTACTCAGCATGGACATATTTCATTTAATTGCTGATGTTATTGTAGCCGGGTGGCAAGTGCCGGTCATGATTTAGTTGTCTAGCTCCATTTACCAGAAAAACCTGGCCACTAAGCAGACACACAAAAAAAGGACCAGACAAAAAAACCAGCCTCATTTTGGCTTTCTGCCCTCTACTGGCCAGCTGCTCGGGTGCTCTTTTTTGGTCCACGTGTTACTGGCCATTTGGTTGGTAGTGAACCAAGAAAACGTAGTTCTGGTTTTCTGTTGCGTGTTCGTTTGCGGCCTTAAGACACACAGTATGGGCACGGAATGCCCTGGGAGAGATTGAGATATTTTGCTTCACTGTACATTCCATTTGCTTAGGTTGTGTTAAATTTGATTTCCACTGTGCATCCTCGCTCGAAGATAGTTTGATTGCAAGTCGCTATAGGCAATTTACAGATCTGGTGGCAGGTCACAGTTCAAACGCACATATTATTATGTTGCGATTCTTGCCATCACTTATGTAATATGTCTGGACATATGTGTTTCTATTTCTTTGTTAGATGGAGATGATTAGCACTTTAGATTCCGGTCAAGTACACTGATGATTGTTGATGTTTTGTTATTTGTGAACAGTATTTAGTTTAGTGTTCAGTTCAGTAAAACAAACAGCTGTTAAATGTGATGATTATAATTCCTTTTCTTAATTCAATTTAGAATCTGTAGTCCATGCACATGGTTCATCTAGGTGTGTGTAGTTGTATAATTCACGTATTCACTGAGACGATAAGAATAAAATATTTTGTGGCCCCTGTACAGAAGAACCCTTGTCATTTCTTTATTTTGTCTGTTTTTGCTGTTTAGCGGGCAACATTTACTGAATTGTCCTTACCACAATTTTCTCCCCTATTCCCATGTCTTCCTTCTTCCTGCTAGCAGTGACAAACATGCACTGTTACAACAACAAAACCAACGAGAGGAACATCATTACATAAGAAATGATGTAAAAAGTTTTGCAATATCAAGGAAATAGATTGTAAAATAAGAAATATAAATATAAGTCACAAAATCTATTGAAATAAAGTGGTTTTGCCATTTGACAAGAACACTTGGTACTAAGTAAGAGAGACGATCATGGTAAAAAACAAAACAAATTGTTAGCTTACAGCAAGATAAAAGACCCTATCAATGATGGAGTGATAACATCGACAACATATGAGTAATATACTCAGCACACAAAAGAACCTCACACAATCCTCCTAAATACTTCACACTGACAAGCGAAGGAAGATGAGGAACAGAAGGAGAAGGAAGAAGAAGAATAACCGGACGGAAGCCACACAAGATTTTTTGATTTATCACACTGGTCACTTCTTACTTACCATCATCGTACTCAATGAGGTCATTATACAAGGCCTGGGCCATGCCGATGGCGTATCCTGGGAAGTATGGGTTGAAGTATTGTCCATCCATCAACTTGACACCAGCAGGTGCATCCGTGTAGCCAGTCAACAGTGAAAATATATAGTCCTGTACAGAATCATGGTAACAAGGATTGAACATATCATTTCTGAAGCCAACAAGTTGAATTCAATGGAAAATAAATGGCACCACACAGTTGCAGAAGATTAATTGTCCTGAAGAGACTGCTACAGACAATTTTAACAGAGTACATAGTTTCTTTGCATGTGACTTGCAGACAGGCATTTTGTTGTTTTCAGCCGTGGCAAGATAATGCTTCTGACAATAGTTAACGGCAGCATTTACCTACATATGATGACTAAAAGGATATAGTTCCATTACTCAGATACTGAGCTAGGGTTTTCATTTGCAATGCTTTTTGACTGTGTCCAACTTGGTTTGTGTTGTAACAGCAGATTAGGAAAATAGCACATGGCCTGTTGCCAAATAACTAGGAGTGCCTTATGCAAAAACTTAAGTTTGTGTGCAACTTCTGACATGTTGTAACTGCTGCTTCCATCGTTGATCAACTGCATTTTTAGTATTGGACTGTATGTGGTGGCACTTCTGACAGCCGCCTTATGCATTTAACAGCATGTGTGTTCTAATGGCTTAGCTGAGACTGCAGTAGGTGCTAATTATTTTAACATAGGACAGTGATGGACATTCAGTTTGGTTTTCATTAGCACAGGAACAGAGCAACTATGGGGTGACTTTTGCTATGAAGCTGGAACTGTGATTGCCTGATTGCACTGAATCTAATTATAAAAACTTCTTACAGCTGATGCTGTATGGCATTGGTAATCATGTCTGCCCACATCCTGCTGTGTGTATCCATCATTTATGACACAGATAATCTTCCATGCCATCATGCTAAACTGTTCAACACCCTCTTGTCTTTCACCTGGCTTTATTACCCTCCAACTGTCCTCTTTTTATGACACTCCAAATTCCCCCTTTTCTTTTAAATGGAAAAGATTTTGGAGAACAAAGAATAGTTCCACTGCCCCCAAACAAGCATTTCATAGCAAGCACCAACTAACAGCTTACATACATATAAGCCAGAGCTGTAAAACAGATGTGCATGCAAAACTCAACTTCTGGGTTAGGACCAAAGTCCAGGAGTAGACAGACAAACAGACCTTTCTGCTGAGGTTTACAGTCAACACTAAGAAGAAGCAGAAGAAATACCATATAATTCTAAACTGTACAGCAGAAACAATTGTGAAGACAGCATAAAAACTTGTTGACTTTACCGCTCCTCCGTGCCTGGCTGGTACAATGTAGCTGAGATCTGGCGGCAAAGCTCCATTGTTGGCAGAACGTGCATGCTCTTCGTTTTTGTAGGGGTTAGGAAAGCGGTCTGACAGCTTGCCGGGTCGCTGAAACATGTTTCCTTCCTCATCAGGACCATCTTCTATCAGTGCCTGTGAATAATAATATGCAGAGTTTACTTAAATCACATTAACAATCAGCAGCAGACAACATGTGGCTTAGAAATCTATAGGTAACTATGGATTACTTTTGCCATTCAACAAAATACAGCTGTGCAACGATGTAACTGCTTGAGTCCTACTCTCAGTTGTACACTAAATAAATCTATTTTGTTTCAGTCAGTCATGTCTATCCACAGCCTTTTGTCCCATGTACTTTCAATCATTTTGTTGTAAATGCAAGTATGTCACACACAAAAACATAATACTTAGTTAATGAGAGGTCTTGGGTTCTCATCCGCACTGGGCAGATCTAGGTGGAGAAATTGACCAAGCTTAAAATGAAGGTGAAGGTGCTAAAATGGTGTTGACCTGTGTGTTAGTTGCGTATCCTTTACAGGACATTGGAGAACCAACCCCATCATTTTTTGACTGTTGTGGTTTTGTTAGGCAAGTTTACGTCCAGTAGTTTGCCATTGCTTTCTGGGCGGTCGGCTTCTCGATTTCACTGCCGAAACCAGTGCACTGACCGCAGCTGGGATCGAACCCGGCACTACAAAGCATGTTCGTGACACCTAAGCCACAGAGACTGACTACTAGTTGACCTGTCTACTGGTCTATAAAAATATAAAGCTTTGGCACACGGTCCAAGATACATCAAATGACCTATAAGCCAATGGTTGAGAAAAAAAAAGTCACGGTGGGGGTGGGGCGCTTGATATACAAAGTGTGCTTTGTCCGACAAACAAAAACATGCACTTCCTGAGGTTTGTGGAGGCTTACTGTAATGATTCATGTTTTGCTGTAACAATAGAAGATTTACAGTAGGAAGATAAACTTACACCTTTTTAGCATAAGGGGCAAAGCTTAGTAGGGAATCAGCCAGGAGGGACAATCAGGAGATTGTCGGGTTCCTTGTGAAATGTTGGTAATGTTATAATTATGCATGGGGATTGAAGGCATGAGATGAAAGGTACAAGGACTGAACTTTAGTTATTTTTTTTTTTTGGGGGGGGGGGGGGGGGGGGAGGCGCTGGAGCAAGAGTATGGCAGAGTAAATGAGTGTGAAGTGGAAACTCACGGTATCCAAGTGGCCTACAGAGGCTGCAAATTTCTGGCCATAATGTTGGTAAAAATGCCTGCTAGCGGTTTACCTGAGATGTCTACATGAACCTGAGCGGCTCAGATATTGTCTATGACCATATGAAGTATGAGATTCTCTGAGTTGATCCTGAGATGTGTAGTGCACTTGACTTAAATGTTTGCTAATCATAATCCTAGACAACCAATCAGTGACAACAACTCCCCAGTCTATCGGACAAACACTGTCCGTTTCAATGCCACTAGAAAGTACACTGCATTTAAACTGTCAAAAAAAAAAATCATTGCATTTCATCTAGATTATAAATCCAATTTATGCAATTATCTTTAAATAAGTCCACAAAAGAATATTTGATTGGTAAAAGGCTGAGAAAAAGAATTATTAAAAGCTATATAAACACTATCCTGATATACAGAAGTAAATCATGGACAGTTGGTATACTAGCAAAAAGAATCATTAAGATAAATGTCAAAACACATGATACAGAAGGTTGTGGAGAGGCATGACTACTAACACCACACGGCATGGGCTTTAAGAAGAAGGAGAAGAAGAAGAAAAGGATGAAACAGTTCCCACTGAATCAGTAACAAAGATACAGAACATCATATTCCTCACCTCTTCGGCTTCAGCTTTAGCCTCCTCCTCAGACATGATAACATTGACTAAGTTTCTGTAGCACAAAAATTTCATACTGTGACAGGCGGCACACACCTGCTTGTACACCTGGTAACCCCTACGAATGCTGAAAGAACACAAGAAACATCTTGAGGCCACTAATTTACATGACAGCTGAAAAATAACACAAGGCACACTTCTTTCTCGGTGTCTGTTCGAATTATGTAATTATATGATGCCTGTTTACAGCAAGTGCTTGTAAGCTGTTTACACAGTTGTGCCCTTTACCCAGCACACCTAGCTTCATCAGTGATTTGTTGTCCTGGCTTGATTTATACAATTATGAATAATATTTAAACTCCATGAACAATCATGGGGCAGGTTTTATTTTCAGGACTACCAAATGATGAAAAACTTGACTGCAGAAATAAATATCACAGAACATTTAAATGCAAACATGATACAATATACAGGGCCATTTACAATTATATAGCAGCTTAATAACATTTGAAGGTTGATAAAATTATTAATCTTCTCAATAAATGATAAGGCATGACTATATGTTTTCAATAAGAAGCACTCTGTGGGATAAAAAAAAAGCTGAAATTTGGAGATATAATTTTCTGGTTAATTACCTGTACTGGCATTGCTTGTATGTATAACTTTTAGGACAGTGTGTAAGACAAACAGATCTTGGGTCCAGTGGCTAGTTCAGTCATCACGGACAGTGCAGGTTAGGATTTTTATTTCTGCCCCTAAAAGACAAAAGCTTCACCACCTTATAGAGAATTTAAACTTAAGTCACTCACATGAGAGCTCAGCTTCCTAACCAACTGACTTGTGTAATAACACACAACAAAATTATGTGTGAAATAATAGGTTAGTTGCGTATCCTTTACAGGACGTTGCAAAACCAACCCCAGCAGCCCCTGGCTGTTGTGTGGTTCCCCTAGGCAAATTTACGCCCAGTAGTTTGTCATTGCTTTCTGGACGGTCAGCTTCTTGATACCACTGTCGAAACCAACGCAAGGCACATGGCCCGCAGCTGGGATCGAACCCGGCTTTCAGAGCGTTCGCCATTGACTTAGCCACAGAGCCGACGTGTGAAATAATACACAATAAAATATGTGTGAAGTAATACACAATAAAAATATGTGTGAAATAATACACAATAAAAATATGTGTGAAATAATACACAAGACAAACAACCAGAACTTTTCATTGATGAATTCAAAGAAGGTAAAGAAGTAAGATCTTTCTAAATGAAAGAAATTCACAGGTACCTGGAGTGAATACAGTGAATCAAATGGTATGACAGAATCACTAATGTAGAGCTTTGGGAGTGAACTAATTTCCAGTGAAGAGAAGATACATGTGTAGGACAGGATATGCATTGTAAAAATCTGATGATATAACAAAAGTATTCTAGGACTCACACGGTTAAAGAAATAAAGGCAGATTTTAAAAAAAATGAAGAGAAATGGAGGAGGAGGTAAAAAAGATTTAGAGGACACTCACTAAGCTGCATATATAGTAAAATATAAGGTGACTTTGTGCAAGTTGGTTGAGGTCTTATGCCCGCTTGTGGGAGAAGCAGAAACCAAAGATCTACATGTTTCCTTATTCTAGCTCTATACACCCGACTGAACTCTCACCTAGCATGATCAAAAGCCTGTAGAAGTCCATTATTGCTCCATGGATAGTGAGGTGGGTGAAGTACCAGATCACTTGCAAATGTAGGCTGGGCTAATGCAGTGGCTACCACAGCTCCCCCTGTAAGCGCAAGAGAACCCAACGTCCATGCCTGTTCCCAAAAATACAAAACAGCTCAGAAAATGTCTTTTGTTTTTCAACATATTTGTGGACAAAACTGGTGGAATTACACATACATAAATGCTCTGTTCAAATGTCTACAAACTGTAATAATCTATGTAAAACCTAAATATAATCTTCTTGCATGTATCCTGCCATCAATGCTGAATGTTGAATTAGGAATCCACATCACAGCACCTGGGACACCCCCATAAGCGCTTCGTCCCCATCTTCAGCAGCAGGCGAATTGTTAAAATTTTGATGGTATCAGTAACTGTTTGATTGTATATCCGTCTCACCTTTCCCGTGAGTGTCGAGCGTCGACCAAATCCCCTTGTAACTCATCGCAGTGCCATTCTCCTTAGACCGTAATGATCTATCTGTGCCTGGGAACTGTTCATTCGCTCCCAAAGGGCCTCACAACATCTAGCTTGTCATACATTAGTTTACCACTAAAGTGGTGCAGAACCGGTCAGTCTATCTGCCTGCTCATTTCCCAAAACAACAACAACCTGGTGAATCCTTCAAACATTTCATTTGGGTATTATGAAGCTGCAGGCAAAACTGTTATGCAACATCACTGCTACAAGTGCCCTACCTATCTGTAAGAAAATATTCTTTTAATGTTACTGGTGTATATGTTACCAAAATCATATCTGTATAGACCAACTGGCACTCAGTAGTAGATTTGGTCAACATCACATTGCCTGCCTTTACTTCCCAGGACATTACCTTGCTCCCATTTCTCTATTATTTGTGGCAAATGAAAATCTGCTGAGTGCTCACCCAACTCTATCAGTGGGGGGAATGCAAAACATGTGCTCGGTGTCCATCTTTTACCTGATGTAGGTAATTATATATAATCTGTTTTTGTAAATGTGCCTCCTCTAGTACTTGGATACTGGTAGACCTGCTCATCGGAGATATCTTAGCATTCAATGAAGAAACCACAGACCAGTTTCCTCTTTATGTGACTATGACTAATTTGCATCATCATCATCAAGTGCCTTGCCTATTGGTGTGGGTGAACACACTTCTCACATATTGTACCAATTGGTGTGGGTGAATGTGCTTCTCACAAACTGTAATCTTTAACAGCTTGCACAAGTTCATAAGCTGAAACCATACCATGACAAATATGTGTTAAGAACTAACTTTCATTTTATTTCCAGCTGTCACAATATTTGTTCTCATAATGTCTAAAATTATGTTTGACTGCCTCTCTGAAGTTTGTGATCAGCTGTTTTCAGGTTTTAACATCTTTAAAAAAATTAATATGGAGCAATTTTGATATAGCTGTAAACTGAACACTGGATAAGAAGCATGAATAACATACTTCCAGTATGATTCCATCTCTGAATTTACAGCTCTTAATTTTACAAAATTACATTTTTTAACAAAACAGACTCCCTTGAGCTTCTGCTACAATTCGTTGCTTTCCTTTTGGGCCTTGGTGATGATGTGGCTTGTGACTAAAACTAGACAGCAGCTAGGATCAGTTATCTAAAATCTAAAAATAACAGCGAGGGTGACGCTAAAAATTAAAAATAACCTCAACGAATACCACTTGCGTACAGCAGTGGGCATACCACAGGCAACACTCATGGGTAGCTGGCTAAACTATAGAAGTGAAGTGGGAGTAATATCCTACGAAAGGGAACATCCAACCCTAGTACGCACAAAGTTTTACAAAACTACCAGACATCAATTACAAATGCACTGTGTACTTACCAATCTTCTGCCAGTCTTGCCATGTAAACTAACAAAAGACGCCTGTAGGAAAAAATAAGCATTTAGTCCATATTTGTTTCAAATCTTACAATGCAGCAACAGTATTCAGGTGAATACATGTATATATAAAAATAATGCAGCTTCATTAACAGTACAAAATAACCTCATAAATCAGGTGCCTTGCTGACTTACATCGCTGATCACACCTCTTTACAATCTACGATCTTCAACATTAGTTTATCAGTTTTGTGCACTGACCCCCTTTGCGCCATGACAAAATGCTGTCAAAAATCTTCTCGTATTATCCTCCTCAGCTTTTTTTTTTAAGCAAATCTTTCCTGTGGTCACAACAGGTTTTAGTTTCCTTTCATAACATGATCAAAACATAATACATCTTTCTGATGTTTGTGTAAACTGTCTTTGCTTCTTTCAAAGTATCTAGATTGCTTTTTTTGGCTGTTCAAGAAATTCTAAGGATTATTCTGTAACCCCACATCTCTGTGGCCTGAACATATTTTTTTAGCTTGATTATTATCTATCCAGTATTTACAACCACATGCTAAAACTCTTAATTTATCATCAGCTTGCCTTTCATCCCTCAAGAGCAATAAACTCATACTAAGCCCTTTGTTATTGGTTTAATTTTGCACCTAAAGATTTCAACAGAATGAGGAAACCATATACATGTCAACGATCCTCAGATGCCTCTTATGACTTGCTTGAGGTTACAATTCTTTGTTTTCCTTTTTAGCCCTGGTGATGATGTGGCTAGTGACTAAAACTAGACAGCAGCTAGGATCAACTCTCATTTAAAACTGCATGCTAGCAGCAATGGTAATGCTACAAATTAAAATTACCAACAAATACCATTTTCTTAGAGCAGTGGCCATACAACAGCTGGCTAAACTATAGAAGTATAGAGGTAATAATATCCTACTAAAGGGAACATCCAACCCTAGTACACACAGGCGGGGATGGTGAACAAGGCAGATGAATCTATATAGATCAACAGATTGTAAATGAAAATAGCAGGGAGTGTGGCACACATGAGGCATGTTCAGGACATGACAGAGAACACACCTGTCATCATGGAAGAGATTGGGATCTTACCACATAACACCTTAAAGCTTGCAATAATCACAATAAAATAGAAGCAGTGACACAGGAAATTCATGGCCCCGGAGATATGTCTGTTGCAAGCACAATCAGGGAAGAAACAACTCAGTCAAGACTAGGGATAGTATTAAGATGAAGACATTTCCAAAAGAACATTTACTGAAGAAGAGGTTGCATTTCATGGAAATTAACAAAGAAAACAACAACAAAAATATTATTACTGAGATTCTGGGACAGAATGGAAAGTTGCTGATAAAAAAAAAACAAGTTAAATAATTTGGCTGCATTAAAAGACAAAGTTATTTAAGTATCCTTCATAGGTCGTTGCAGAACCAACTCTAATATTTTTTGGTTGTCTGTGATTTCACTTAGCAATGTTACATTCAGTAGTTTGCCACTGCTAAAAGGTAAGCTCTCACCATCACTGTCAGAAAAATTCAAGTCAGTCTGCTGCCAAATTATTTGCAGCTGGGATCTTCTTCTCCTTCTTAGTGTTCATCAGCTGCAAATTTCAGCAGAAAGTTCTGCTTGTTCACCCACTTCTGCACTCTGGTTTTGCTCCAGAACTTGAGTTTTGTGGACACATCAATTTTACAGATCTGGCTTATTTGTATGCAGACTATTGGTTCTTTGCTTCCCAGACAGATGCACTCCAACTTTAAAGAAAACACTGTAATTAGTCGCCTTGTAGGACATGCTTGTTAGGGGAGCAGTGGGTCTATTCCCCCCCCCCCCCAACCCTGACCCAAATGAGGCACCGGAACCGACATGTGGGCAGCTGGAATCAAACCCGGCACCTCGAAATTGTGAACAGCATTTGCAACAACTAAGCCACAGGCTCTGACATAATTTAAAAAAGCAAAACATTTTTAAAAACCATAATGGAGGGAAAAGTCAAGTCAAAGAGCAAGAGATGGACAACAATACAAGTCGAAGGACATCAGAAGGTGGACAGAGCAAGTCTGAGTGTCCAACCAAGAGGAGAGACATACTATGTTGGAGATCCATCACAGCCAAATTTCATTATGTATGGAGATAGCACCTGAATGACTGAACCCCAGTGTCACACAATTAACTGTCCCCTGGAGTGTACAGATTCATAAAGATAAAGATTATATTCTTTTTAAAGGTGTTCGTATAATTTCATGTAGAAATTGCCGCTAATATTCTTGTTAAGGTAATGAGTAAACAAAACATTATATGATTATCAGTGCACAGATAGAGAAAGATCATTTATTCACAGAGGACAGAAAGACTAGAGAAAGGTGAGAGGTTAAGACATTTTGGTTGCACTAAGTAATCATAATGCAGTCTTCCGAAGCTGAAAAGATAAAATACTGAATTATTATCACCTTGGGAGTGCCAATTATAATTATATTTAGTCATCTGTCACACAGAAAAAAAGCCAATTAGTACTTAGCTACAAAAGAACAGTGCTGCGTACATTCATTCACTGTGATTACATAACAATCACAATCAATATAATTTAGATCCTGTCCACTTTCTGTTGACTGATTTGGTTTTTAATTAAATATTTACTTCATTACAGTTTGTACAATATTAAATCTATACTCAATTATGTTAAATTTGAACTTCGATGTGGATAGACATATAAAGGAATGTCAATAATTTATTACTGCGGCCAACACACTCAAAATCATTGGGGTTGGCAAATCATCCTGGGCCGGTTTCAAGGGCATATAGCGTGCAAAGAGGTTATTGCACATTTATTTGCCAAACAGCACATTAGTAATCACTAAGTACTTGATAGTTAATACTACGTTACGAAGTTGTGTAGCTGTGTTAAGAACACTAGATCATACCTGCTGACTTGAAAGAGAAGGTTTCGTTCGTAGGAGTGCCTGCTTCGTTGCGCGACCAACGATGGAAGCCAT